GACTACTCGTATGCAAAACGAGCCCTCTACCATTTAAGGGATAACCCCGATGAACTCGAGAACAAATAATAATATTATTATTTAAATTGTTGAAGGACCACTGAGGTGGTCCTTATTATATAGACCTGACGGTCTTTAATTAGGTTCGTTATTTGTTACTTATATAATATAAAATTAGACTAAGGTCAAATATTTTAATTTTAAATCTAGCCTCGCGCGCAGAGCGCGCGCGGGTCTAACCAGCGGAGCCGCATAGCGGCTCCGCGGGCTAGAGTAAAATCCATAAATTTAAATTAGGTATAATTTAGACCTTCTGTACTTTAATATAACCTTGGGATATTTAACAGGTCTCAGGTTTGAGCATTCTGCTGCTTATCGAGGTACTTCGTAGATAAAACAATTATACGACCTGACTTAATATAATTTATTTTATAAGTTAACAATGTAAAAGTATATATAATTATAATAAATTCTTTGAATATCTTAAACCGGAATACAATGCTGTTATAGTTCAAAGGTAGAACGGTAAACTGTTAATTTATGTATAGAGGTTCGATTCCTCTTAACGGCTATATAAAATTCCATAGTGGTTATACCACCTAAATAAACAAAATAAAATTTATTTAATAAATATTGGAAAATTTCTTTAATTTTTGAACTGACAACGTTAAATCAATTAGACCCGGAGCCCCGAGGACTAATTTTTGATAAGTTAGTTTAGGGTTTATTAATAGGTTTAAGTCTCAGGTGACACACCTGGGGACCTAAGATAATATTTTAGATTCACGATATAATATACGCCTTATATAGTATATATATTATACCCATATATCGTTATAGTAATTTATACGATTAGAAAAAACAAAGATCATGAAGAGGTCTTTACCTCTTTTCCCGATTATAATCGGGGGCAATTTTAGATAATTCATGGGTGTATAGGATTATATCCTAGCCCGCGGAGCCGCTATGCGGCTCCGCTGGTTAGACCCGCGCGCGCTCTGCGCGCGGGCTAGGTGAATTTTATAATTTCCAAGGAAGTTATAAATTAGCTCCAAAGGCATATTTTATGTCTTTAGAGTGCGGGCTATGCCCGGGCCCTAATTTAATAGGGAATTTTTAGTTTACATGAACGCAATTCTATTAGATCTGTTGGCTTTTGGTTCAGTATTATCAGGTATTTTAGTAATTACATCACGAAATCCTGTTATTTCTGTTTTATTTTTAATTTCTACTTTTGTTAATGTTGCTTGTTATTTAATTTTATTAGGAATTAATTTTATTGGGCTTACATACTTAATTGTATATGTAGGAGCAATTGCTATTTTATTCTTATTCGTTATTATGATGTTAAATATTAAATTAGTTGAATTACAAGATTCTTCAGAAGATTATTCTAATCCATATCCATTAGCTTTTGTATTAGGTACATTATTTGTTAGTGGTTTAAGTTTAACTAACTCAAATTTTTCTAAATTTGATTTACCTTCAATCTTTGATTCTATTAACTTATTATCATTTAAATCTGATGCATTGGAAACATTAACAGTTAGTCATACAAATTGGGATAGTGTATTTGTATCTATGGATCAAATTAACAGTATTGGTCAAGTATTATATACATCTCATGCATTATTCTTAATTATTGCGAGTATGATTTTATGTTTAGCTATGGTAGGACCAATTGTTCTTTGTTTAAAACCAACTAAACGAATTAGTTAATATTATTAATAAATTGATACCAAGCATAGCTTGGGTCCTATACATTAATTATAAGCGTGTTTAACTCGTTTAATATTAAAATATGGTTAATAACCAACTAAATAAATCCACTAAGCTTTAATAGCTTGATGACAATAGAATTAATAATAAGTTAAATCTTTCGATCAAAGGCAAATTATATTTGTCTGGTTCTGAAATTTAGGTATGTTTTGCTTACCTTAGATTATGAATTTAGTCAGTGGGCCGTTTTGCGGCCCTACAGGACCATCAAAAATTAACTTATTATTCATGTATTATAATTTACTCATGTTATTATCATTTATTGAGGTACTTATTGTTATTGTACCATTATTATTATCTGTAGCTTTCATGACAATTGCGGAACGAAAAGCTATGGGTTCAATGCAAAGACGATTAGGTCCTAATCGAGTAGGATACTATGGTTTACTACAACCATTTGCAGATGCATTAAAACTATTTGTTAAAGAATCAGTAATTCCTGCTCATTCGAATAAAGCTTTATTCTTATTAGCGCCTGTAATTTCTTTAATTACTAGTTTATTAGCATGGGGAGTAGTTCCTTTCGGTGCAGGATTAACATTATCAGATCTTAGTTTAGGTATTTTATATCTATTAGCTGTAGGTTCTTTAGGAGTATATGGAGTAATTTTTGCAGGTTGGTCTGCCAACTCTAAATATGCTTTCTTAGGAGGATTACGAAGTACTGCTCAAATGGTTAGTTATGAGGTTGTAATGGGATTAATTATTCTTACTGTAGTATTATTAGTAGGATCATTAAATCTAACTAATATTATTCAAGCCCAAATTAATGTTTGGTATATTATTCCATTATTACCACTTTCTTTAATGTTTTTAATTTCAGCAATTGCTGAAACTAATAGAGCTCCTTTTGATCTACCTGAGGCGGAATCTGAGCTAGTAGCCGGATTCTTTACTGAGCATTCTTCTGTACCTTTCGTAATGTTCTTCTTAGCCGAGTATGCTTCTATTATTTTAATGTCTACATTTGTAGTAATGTTATTCTTAGGAGGGTACTTAATTCCTTTTGTATCTTTTGAAAACCCAACATTCTTCTCATTTGAAGGATTAGCATTAGGTCTTAAAACTTCTTTAATCCTATTTATTTATATCTGGGTACGGGCATCATTCCCAAGACTACGATATGATCAATTAATGAGTTTCACATGGACAGGAATGTTACCATTAACTCTAGGATTTATTATTTTAGTACCATGTATCTTAATGGCTTTCGAAATTGCTTAATGATCAAAATACCGGACAAATAGTCTTACCAGGTAATACCTGGTAAATTACGTCTAATTAATTTAACCAATATAAATAACCACCCTATAATTAAAAGGGTATAATAATATTATTGAAAAATATGGTATATTATATATGGCTATTAGTTATGGATATTATATTTATAAAATATATGAATTAGTTTCATTAATAAATTACAGAATAGTACATATATATATTTAAATTAATTATAAATATAGTATTAATCCCTTTAATTAGTTAATGGGGGGTGGTTATTTATTTAATTAATATAAAACCTTAATAAGATATAAAATATTATTTAAGGTTACTTACTGTAAATTATTTAGTCGATGCTGTTTTATTTTCATCTGCTGCTAAATCCATTAAAGTATTTTCAATAATACCTACTGCAGGAACAATAATTAAGAACCAACCAAAGTAGAATGCTGTTGCAAATTGTCCTAAAGTAATAAATGGCTCTTCAACATGTTGTCCTCCACACCATAATAAGATTAAGAAATCTACTACTAATAGCCAGAATGCTAATTTCATTAATGGTCGGAATGCTGATCCTCTAACTCTAGAAGTGTCTAATACAGGCATAGCTAATAAAATTAATAGAGAACCGAACATAGCAATAACTCCTCCTAATTTATCAGGAATAGATCGTAAAATAGCATAGAAAGGTAATAGATACCATTCTGGTACAATAGATGCAGGAGTTTGCATTGGGTTAGCTGGGATATAATTATCAGGATGACCTAATTTATTAGGTGCATAGAATAAGAATAAAGCTAATACTAAGAAGAATAAGAAAATTGTTACTAAATCTTTAAATACGTAATAAGGATGAAGATAAACCATATCAGTATTTGCTGTAATTCCTAATGGATTATTAGATCCATTTTCCTCTTTAGCAATTAAATGCATTAAAGATAAAGCTGCTAAGATGAATGGTAATAAGTAGTGAAGACTGAAGAATCGGTTTAATGTCGCATTATCTACAGAGAAACCTCCCCAGATGAACTCTACTAAATCTTTACCAATCCAAGGGATAGCCGATAATAAGTTAGTAATTACAGTTGCTCCCCATAAAGACATTTGTCCCCAAGGTAAAACATATCCTAAGAAAGCTGTTGCCATCATTAAAATTAAGATGATAACACCAATACTCCATACTAAAGCTCGAGGAGCTTTGTATGAACCATAGTATAATCCTCTACCGATGTGTAAATAAACAAATAAGAAGAAGAATGAAGCAGTATTAGCATGAAGATATCTAATCATCCATCCGTAGTTAACATCTCTCATAATATGTTCTACACTAATAAAAGCTAGATCGATATTAGGTGTATAATGCATAGCTAAAGTTACTCCTGTTACAATTTGGATAACTAAACATAAAGCTAGTAAAGATCCAAAATTCCAAGCATAATTAAGATTAGAAGGTTGAGGTGAATCAATAACGTAACTATTAGCAAGACTTAAAAGGGAATGACTCTTTAGTAATTTCATTAAAAATAAAATTAATTTAGGCTGATAAGAGGAGTTACCTCAATTTATCGAAAATTCCATTACAATATAAATCCCGGGGCGGCAAGCCGCCCCGTACTCGGTAAGAAGGCGAGCTCCGCCCCGAGCTATTGTAATTAATCTTTAGACTACAAGTAATAAAATTACCAACTATTCATACCTAATTGACATGAATCTTTAGCCCCGAAGGGTCTAATACCCGAGGGGTCAAAGCCTCCCCGGGCTTTAGGATTATTTCAAGAGTCTTAAGATTTAGATCTACAAGAATAAATTTATTCAATATATAAAAATATTGGCCACGTAATGGCAAATATAAAGAGTAAAACCCCCTTATTATAAATTTATTGATTAATAGACCGACCAACAAGCCGTGGGCCTAGACCCATAGAGCCTGAACCGGTCACACCTGAAGTGTGGCCGGGATAATAAAACATGTAAAATGCAAACAAAATATACAATGAGCCCCGCGGGGAAGTCGACCCTTCGACCCTCAAGGGGTAAGGGGCCGTCCCTCGGGTAAAGTTTTAGTCCAGATATCCGTTAAGACTTGAGTCGGAAGTCCGACCCTGGAAATATTCACCCTATTCACAAAATATATTTTAAAAAAGACAAAGCCTAATTATTTTATTTTTAAACCTTACTTATATTTATATAAATTATTGCTAATAGTTATTAATAATAATTAAGCCTGAAAGATAAAGTCTTTAAGCTCTTTTCTGGGGTCCTAGATGGTACGTCCGGAGGCTTAATTTGCCTTTTATTAGTCGTGATAGGAGGCCGCTGTTATTATAATTAATGAAATAAATATATTAATATAGAACATAAAGACTTAGACCCTTTATATCTAAAGGGGGGGGGG